CGCGGCGGGCCGGCCGGGCCCCCGGAGCCGCTCCCTCGGCGTCCCGGGCTAGCTGTTTCCCGCGGGCCGAGCCCGCTGGAGCTGATCCTCTCCCCGCGAAACGTGCCTGCTTGCTTAGTGTCTTCGGATGTTCGTTCCGAGGGAAAAGGAGCCGGTTCCGCCTGTGCTCTGATGGAGTCTAGGCTCAGTGTGCGGTCCTGCGTCTCTGAGAGACGTTTTTATGGCTTTCCGGCTTGATATCAGAACGTGGACCTTTGCGCTTTCTCAGTAAATCCCTTTCAGAACAAAACAGAATAAACCTCACGTCCCCTAGCTGTACGCACACCTAAAAACTTAGGTTGCAGTCGGAACAAACAAACAAAAAGGTTAGAAGTTGCAGTTCGATTTCTTTTTGGCCTTGATAGAAAGGTAAGAGCTACCTTTTCTCGTTGCTGCGAGTGATGGGCACCATTTTTAATTGTACTAAGCTTTTTTTGGTTAACCTTTTTAACTGTTTTTGTGAAGTTGAACGCATTCCTCTCCCCTCTCGACTTTGTTTTATCCAGCTTCTCAGTGTCTGGGAGAGTGTCTGGATGTTAGAAAAAAAATTTTTTTAACTCAAATACACTGATGAAAACACTTAGGTGTTAGACATTCTCTGTGAGCACTCTAGCTCACAGTGTGCAGTTCCTAAGAGTTGGATCTCTGAGCCCCAGAGTGCCTTTTGAAGAGGAGGTAATGGAGGGAGCCAGGCGAGATAAAGTGGTGGTGAGATTTGAGTTCTAATCCATTTACCAGCCATGGACGTTGGGGACGCACTTTGCTGAGTGTGTTTGCTCACCTGCTTCTTCCTAGGACCCAAGTCAGAGGGGGAAGGCCAGGCTTATAGGAAGTGCTCAGTAGATATTAATCACCACTCTTTACAGGGTCTTTGTTTTGTTTTGTTTTTCCTGAAGGGCTCCTTTCTCTCTTCACCTTGTTCCCAGCCTGTCGTAGATGAGATTTTTTCCCTCCTAAAGGCTGTGCAAAGCATGTCACCATCAGGCCACTCTTTAACTCTTCTCATGTATAACTAGAGCCACTTCTTCAGGAAGCCATTTTAGTTTTAAATCTGTGAAAACTTAAATGCTTTTCATTGTTTATGTTCTATATTTCATTGCAGCTCCAGTACCTAGTGGCCAGACATATTTACAAGTTTCTTTTACAATAACCCTTTGTGGACATCTAATAAATGGTCATTATTTTTGAGCACTAGTTGGTTTTCCTTAACACTTTAGGTTTGTGACTGATTTTTAAAACCTTAAAGCAGTATTATGTTCTACTCCCTCCCCCACCAGTTTGGTCTTTATTACTATAAGGTTAAAAAAAAAAAAAAGGACTATGTAGTATCCATAGTCATTTTCCCATTACAATTTAAATTTTGAAGTAGCATTTATAGTAATTGATGTGCATGAAATCCCAAATTAGGAAAAGGTTTTGTTGGCATTTCATCCTACTTGAACTGTTAGTGATGATTGTGAGTGTTTGGGCTTTCACTTCCCAGGTAGCAAATCATCCTAAACTTCTGGTTTTGCATTATCAAGATGAGAAAATGTTGGGAGATCCTTTTTGCAAAGGGCACAATAGTTGGCATTCAGAAATGAGCTAACTGCAGAGGGAAAACTGCAAGCTGGCACACTGGCCTTCTTCTCAACCTTCTGTTAACCCAACAAGCTCCCACAGGTTGTTCTTGAAATTGCAAGATGATTATATGGCAGTATTGAATTTGCAACTAACTCATAATTTCAAACCATTATTAGCCAGAGGGTTGATTCCAGACCTATGTTCATGGATTTCCTCGCATTAAGTATCGGTATTTAACTGTAACTTTGTTTTAGCTCTAAGTCCATCAGTGATCTGGACTTACTTGGGGAAAAGGTATCAGACCAGGGTCACTTGGCTCCTACTATCTAATTGGAAACCAGTTTTCATGGGTGGTAAAGTTACTTGCCCTATGTTACATTTTGAATGTGAAAACTACCAAGAACACAGTTTGATGACAAGTAGAGAACAAGAGGTCAACATTATGAACATCTTTTGCTCTTTGGGTTGAAGGAGTGTGCAAAGGACAACTGAGATTCCTAAGTGTGTACCATGCAAATGTTTGGCATTTCTCAATGAGCTATTATCAGTTCTTGCAAACTCTGCAGTTGGTCCCTTGGTTTGATAACAGCAAGTGCCCACCTACCTGAGGATGCCCAAAGTGCTTTTACCTTGTTATTACTTTGTACTTTCTTGAACCTCTTTGAAAATAGAGGGGCTCTGAAGCCCTTTTCCTCTTATGTTGTGCTAAGTCACTTTGAAATCTCCAGGGTTTTAGTTTTGTCTGCTTTCAAGTCACCCCTGCTAAACCAAAGCAAAGCAGAAATGCAGCATTTACACTTCCAATTAGTGTTAAGTTTTGAGATGAACACTCCCTCCATGACTTCTGGCCCCATCCTTATATGTTGGCTTTGTAGAGGTCCTGGGACTCTCTGTCCCCATAGTGACCTCCTTTACTCTGTGGACTCTAAACTATTACTGATGTAATACTGAGGAAGAGCTCTTCTGCTTTGTTTCCAGGCACATGAACTCCTGTTCTGTTTTCTTTTCCTATTTTCTAAGGACAGTGTTAATTGTGTTGGATGTTTCTCCTGTCTTTGTAGTTCATGCTATTGTAGACACACTTGACTTACTCATTAGGCAAGTTACCTAACCTTACTGGACTGTTTTAATATCTACAGTGGGGAGAAAACTATCCACTTTATAGAGTTGGCTAATGAGGATGAAATACGGTAACACATGTAAGAACTTAGCATAGTCACAGACACAGAGTAGATGGTCTATAAATGCCTTCCAGGGAATGGCATTAGCGGAGACAACCAGTTTTTAACCTTTACAGTGATCCTAAATTTTCCTGTAAGAAAAGGAATTGGCATTAATTTTTGCACCTATTGCTTGGGTGACAAGAAACACTCATAAATTTTATCCTGAGTTGGTTGATGATGGTTGATGATGGTGATCACATTTGAAGTGTGGAGGATAATTTTCATTCAACAATGAAGGTGAAGCTCCCTGGATACACTACTTGTCTTCTCATTTGTTCCCAGCCAAACAAGATTATCACTTGTGATCCAGTTGCTCTGCCTAGAGACGAAGTTCAGTAATTATTAAAGTAGAATGACCAGAAAAACATATTTGCTACTCTACCTAATAGCAATATGGCATACTAATTATAGCCTGGGCTACACATGGAAAAAGAACAGATCTTGTTACCTGGTGCTTAAATGTGAAGGTAGTCACAGTTAATCTATTTTGAACTATTTGTACTTTGCACCACTCCTTGAATGGTAAGTATGTTTATATACATGTAAACATTTCCTGAAAAGAAGCATAGCCAGTCATGACTTCGGGTAGAAATGGAGTAAGTAGGAATTAGCTGGGGAATATCTGGTTGATGATCAAGGGTAGACATTTAAAGAGCTGGCAGTTGATGAATGAAATGATTAATAATCATTTATTTAAAAAAAAAAAAAAGCCTTTAGTGAGCTTTTACAGTGTTCCAGGCACTATGGCCAAGGACTGCACGTGGTTTGTCTATGTGAATCCTCACAGCTTGTAAAATTGTAAAGAGACAGGATCAGTTCCTATTTTGCAGATGAAGTAACTAAGGTTCAAGGAGGTTAATGACTTGCGCGGGATCACCTGGCAGGGGGATGACAGAACCAAACTGAAGCCTGTCTCTGACTCCAAAACTCTGTCTCAACAGCTCTGCTATCCTGATTCTGACCTAGTTTTAGAACTATAGAAAGGAAGTGTGGCCAAACCCAGATCACTTGTCTAATCTACCCAGAGATTTTGTGTTCACAATTTGTACCAGCAAACCTCTGATTCTGGTAACTTGAAATTGGTCTTGAAATTCCCACTTGTATTAAAAAAAAAACAGTTCTATTAAACTGTGACTCTTCCTGGAACCATGATACCCTTTTCCTGGAGAAACCTCTTCTCCGTTTCGCTTTCCTCTGTGCTGGGTCCATGGGTAATTTCCCTAAATTGGCACCTTTCTCAGAAATTCTCCCTCAACTTGGGGCAATGATAGTTGTTGATGACTTTTGTTAGAGTTGGTAGGTTTGGTTCTCTTATCTAAGTCTTACCTCCCCCTGGTGTTACATAGTAGTTGAAAGCAGGGGATCTGAAGTCACAGACCTGAGTACATCTGGCCCTTGGATCCTGGGGCAAGTAACTTAACTTTTCTGAGCCTGTTTTCATACTTGTAAAATAGAGATAATAACCATACTTCTTACTGTACAACACATAGAACTTACTAAGCACTTAACCATCATATTATTCTTATTTGTTCCAGTGAGTGATTATGATTTTATAGAAATTAATGTTTATTTTATTCTCTCTGCAGCTCTTGAAATATTTGAAGAAACTCTCCACCTTGCCTATTACAGTAGACATTCTTGCGGTAAGAAGCGTTAGATATTATATAACTACATTCCATCCCCTTCCCACTGGAAAGGTTGTACAATAAGATCAAAAGCATGGGCTTTGAAAGTGAAAGAAACCAGACACAAGGCCATGTATTGTATGGTTCTATTTATGTGAAATGTCCAGAATAGGCAGATCTATAGACAGAAGGTAAGGGGTGGGGGGAATTGGGAGGAATGGGGTTTTTTAGGGTTATGGAAATGTTCTGGAATTAGTAGTGATGGTTGCACAGTATTGTGAGTGTCCTGGAAACCAATAAACTGTATACTTTAAAAAGGTTAAAGTGAGCCTTGCTCAGTGACAGTATTGTAGCCAATGAGGTTTATCCGAGGTGTGATTATTGCTAATTGAAAATAAAATAAAATGGTTAAAATGGTGAATTTTATCTTAAAATTAAAAAAAAAAAACAAAACAACACCTTAACTTTGGCCATCAACTAGTCCTGGATTCAAATCCACGTTCTATGACTAGGCTGTTCTTCGACGTAAAACAATAGATTCCTGCCTCACAGAGTTGTTGTAAGGACTCATTGAGGTTTGTATGCAAAAGCTCTCAGCTCAGTGCCTGACACCTGCTGTAATCGCTCTTGTTATTTATTGTTATAGTTGTAGAAGTGTTTTCATACACTGTTTTCCTCTTCTGAGGTTGGTGTGCTTTGCTACTGTGTGTCATTAGAGGTTTGAGGCATAGACACAAAGTAATTCTGTACTGAGACTTGCAAGGTATGTTTTAGGAAGGAGTTTCTCAAAGCAAGAGGCCTTATTTCCTTAGAAAGTTGTGAGCCTAGTTCTACCGCCCTCTAACAATTCTTTTGTCAAATCTGTAGGAGACCGGAGTTGGGAAAACAGTAAATAGCTTGCGAAAACACGAGCACGTCGGAAGTTTTGCCAGGGATCTGGTGGCCCAGTGGAAGAAACTGGTTCCTGTGGAACGGTAAGAACGTTATTCTGTAGGTCTGTTCAGCGTCATGGTTAAAGCTGGCACTTGGAATGTTTACAGACAGATATGCTTTCTTTATTATTCCTTCTCTGCCTTCTTATTTAAAATATTTATTTTGGGAGTGCCTGGGTGGCTCAGTCCATTAAGCGTCTAACTCTTGGTTTCAGCTCAGGTCATGATCTCAGGGTCCTAGGATCGAGCCCCGAGTCTGTCTGGCTCTGTGCTCAGCACGGAGTCTGCTGGAGATTGTCTCCCTCTCCTCCCTGTGCTCCACCCCTTCTCGTGCTCTCTCACTCTCTAAAATAAATAAATAAAATCTTTAAAAATAAATAAATAAAATATTTATTTTGCCTTGATTATAAAAATAATCAGTGATCATTATAGGATTTTAGAAGATATTAAAAAATAGAAATAAGAATAAAAATTTCTTGTAATTTTGCCATCCAAACATAAGCATTATTAACATTTTGATATGTTTCTTTCTCCCCTCTTTTTATTTATTTTTAATTAATTTATTTTTTTAGGATTTTTATTTATTCGAGAGAGCAGGGAGCCAGATGTGGGGCTTGATCCCAGAACCCCAGCGATCATGACCTGAACTGACTGAGCTGCTCAGGCCCCCTACCCTCTTTATAAAAGACATTTTTATATAATTGTGAACAAACTATATAAACAACCACCCCTTTTTTTATGTAACAAGTTAAATATGTCCCCGTATTGGAAAAAAAAATTTTTTTTTTCAATTTTTTTAAAGATTTTATTGGGGTGCCTGGGTGGCTCAGTCGTTAAGCGTCTGCCTTCGACTCAGGTCTGCTTGTGTTCACTGCCGAGAGGGGGAATGGGAGAGGGAGAAGCAGGCTTCCTGCAGAGCAGGGAGCCCGATGCGGGGCTCAATCCCAGGACCCTGGGATCATGACCTGAGCCCAAGGCAGACGCTTAACGACTGAGCCACCCAGGTGCCCATAAATAAATAAAATCTTTATCTTTTTTTTTGAAAGATTTTATTTATTTATTGATAGAGCAGGAGGAGGGCCAGAGGGAGAAGCAGACTCCCTGTTGAACAGGGAGCCCCATGCAGGGCTCGATTCCAGGACCCCGGGATGATGACCTGAGCCCAAGGCAGATGTTTAACCAACTGAGCCACCCAGGCACCCCTGTGTTGAAATTTTTTTAGGCATTTTTCATGTCCTCAAGGTATTTGATCTTGTATCCTGCAGTTAAATGCATCATTTTCTGTTTTTGGAATTATTTGAGTTTTCCCAATCTCAAACTTTAGTTGAGTATCTTTGAGCAGGATATTCATCCTCTTCCCAAGACCTTGTTTCTAACTCTGCATCCTTTTCATTTCTTTTTGTGAGTTCAGGTTCTGTGACTTTGTCCTCTGAACAAGGATTACACTGCAATTTATATCTGCTCTATCTGCTTTTTCTGTTATCGTAGAAACACTGAGCCTGATGAACAGGACTTTGAGAAGAGCAATTCCCGAAAGCGCCCCAGGGATGCTGTTCAGAAGGAGGAGGAGATAGAGGGGGACTACCAGGAAAACTGGAAAGCCTCCAGCAGCCAATCCTATAGCCCTGATCACAGGCAGAAAAAACACAGAAAACTCTCGGAACCCGAGAGAACTCACAAAGTGTCTCACGTTCAGGAGAGGAGAGATGAGAGAAAGAGGTGCCATAGAGTTTCACCAGTTTATTCTTCAGACCACGAATCTTCTGATTATGGCCATGTTCAGTCCCCTCCATCGTCTGCCAGTCCCCATCAGATGTCCATGGACCATTACAGATCCTTGGAGGACGACCACGAGCCCTTTGTTCCACACCAGAAGCCTGGGAAAGGCCATAGTAATGCCTTTCAGGACAGACTGGGGATTAGTCAGGACCGACACCTGGGGGATCCCCAGGGGAAAGGGCCTGTGAGTCAGAACAAGGAACACAGATCTTATAAGGAAAAACGTCTGGTGGATGCCAGGGGAGATGGGAAGTCGTCTTTGAGCAGGGAGAAATCACACAAGGCCATCTCCAAAGAGGAACACCGAAGGCCACTCTCAGGGGATAGCACAAAGGAGAAACCGCCCTCTAGTGGTGTCAAAAAAGAGAAGGAGAAAGAGGGCAGCACCAAGAAGAAGTTTTTACCCCCCTTGGAAGTTGCTTCAGACAACCACCTTAAAAACAAGCCAAAGCACAAAGACGCAGAGAAAACCAAATTGGACAAAAACAAGCAGAGTCTAGACAGCTTAGATGTAGGAAAGGGGGCGGGAGACCCGCTGCCCAAGGTGAAAGACAGGGTTTCTAACAACCTAAAGACTTCAGAAGGGAAAGTAAAAACTTCTCATTCAGATAGAAAGTCAGTGAGCTCTCTCCCTAAGGTTGAGGCAGATATGGATGATGAATTTGAGCAGCCCACCATGTCTTTTGAGTCATACCTCAGCTATGACCAGCCCCGGAAGAAAAAGAAAAAGATTGTGAAAACTTCAGCCACGACTGTTGGAGAAAAAGGACTAAAAAAAAATGATTCGAAAAGCACTAATAAAAACTTGGACTCAGTTCAGAAATTACCTAAAGTGAACGAAAACAAGTCAGAGAAGTTTCAGCCAGCTGGAGCTGATTCAGCCAAGCTGAAAAAGGTAAGCCCTTCAGCCACTTGGTGGCTTCCCAGCTGGAGCATCTGGCCCTGCCGAACTCCCTGGCTGACTTTTACGTGGCCTGTTGAATTTGTTTCCAGGCCTCTCTAGCTGCCAGGGCAGCTAGCACCCAAGATGGGTATTTCGTACATCCCATCGTGCTGCGCCCATCTCTGTTTCCTGCCTTTGGTGGTGTCAGACCTGGCTGGCGGCCCCCCTGCAGCCTGGATCTGCTTGTGAAGTTGTCTGCCTCGTCAGCATTGCTGGGAATGGGCTGTAGGGCAGAAGGTTGTGCTCCTACGCGGGGGCTGTCCACTCACTGGGTCTTGTCTCTGCAGGTCCCTGCAGACGCATTGCCAGTGTTGCCAGACCTCCCATTACCCATGATACAGGCCAACTACCGGCCCCTTTCTACCCTGGAATTGATGTCCTCCTTCCCACCAAAGCGAAAAGGTAATTTTCAGCATTTTTTTTAAATGGAAAAAAAGATAATTTATTCACGATGTCCTAAGATTTTGGTGCACTTCCCAGCCTTCCAGGCTCTGGAGTTTGATGGCTTGGGTTTAATCACAGCTCTGGCTACAAGTTGCTGTGAACTGGGGTAATAATTTTCTTGGACTTCAGTTTCATACACTCTAAGTGGGCACAATAATGGTATCTGCCTCACAAGTCTGTTAAGTAGATTAAAAGTGATAATGCTGGTCAAGCTCTTAACTCTGGGTTTTCCCACATAGTAAGTGTTCGGTAAATCTTAGCTGCTGCCGTTACTAGCTGCCCTTTATTTGATGTTCTCCGTGAGCTTTTGATCTGGAAAAAAAAAAGTTCTGTTCTTAATAGAAAAATAACTAAAAGCCACCTAAGTGTCCCTCACAAGAGACCATCACTAAACCATGGTTCATCCACACAGTGGCCTCCTATGCAGCTGGAACAAATGTGGAAAGTCTGTCGGATATGGGATGATTTCTAAAATGTGATAAATGAAAGAACAACGATAGTGGGTGTTATTGGTGAAAGTGGAATAAAATACATACTTGCTTATTTTTGCATAGACTTGATGGAAGAATACACAAAACTGGTAGCATTGGTTGCCTTTGAGAAAGGGCACTGGGAGGCTGAGGAAGGGGGAGAGAAGGAGAGCTCTCCCTGTAGAACTTAGTGCCCTTTGTAACGAACAGTCTTGTCTTCCTTGCCCTGTAGCGCTCTCCTCACCCCAGGAAGAGGAAGAAGCTGGATTCACTGGACGAAGAATGAATTCTAAGATGCAGGTGTATTCTGGCTCCAAATGTGCCTATCTCCCGAAAATGATGACCTTGCACCAACAGTGCATCCGGGTACTTAAAAACAACATTGATTGTAAGTCACATGCTTTTCTCGTGCTCTAAAACACATTGTGGCACTGGGACCTCACCATTGGGTGGCTTGGCCAATATTCAACACTTTCACCTTTGATTTTCTGCAGCAATATTTGAAGTGGGTGGTGTCCCATATTCTGTTCTTGAACCCGTTTTGGAGAGGTGTACGCCTGATCAACTATACCGCATAGAGGAGTACAATCACGTGAGTATCCTGTTTGGGTGCAGAGAAGGCCATCTTCTGGCTCGTGTCTCCAGAAATAGCTTTGTCTCTGAGTCTGCAGTGGGTGAAGGGCAGGTGGCAGTGGCCGGTTCACTGTTCTGGGCATGTTGGTTTGCTTGCGGGCCTTGAAACATGCATACTTTTAGCACCTGCTCTGGCATCAAATCAAGATGGGTTTCAAAAGGACCCACTGCCCACCCTTCTCTTGAGCTTGCCTAGTCACAGAGGGCAGGGGAGAATTTTGGCAGCCCAGCCTCTGGGATCCAGGGCAGGGACAGAGCTTTGTGTGGACATTCAGGTGTCTGGTGAATATAAAAGAGCACAGGGGCACCTGGTGCCTCAGTCGGTTAAGCGGTTAAGCATCTGACTCTTAATTGCAGCTCAGGTCATGATCTCAGGGTCACAAGCCCCATGTCAGGCTCCGTGCTGGGCGTGAAGCCTGCTTGAGATTCTCTTTTCCTCTGCCCCTCCCCTCTTTAAAAAGAAAGAAAGAAAAAAGAGCACAGATTGGCTAGGTGTCTCCTAGAGACATTCCAGTGTGACCAAATGTCTTTCTTATAATGCTGGGACACATAGGCATTTGATTGCATTAGCTGGCTGTCTCTAATTCTGAGGGGTCATCCTTAGGTGGTCCCCTTGCCTGGGTGTGTCATCATCCCAGTTCTACCGGTCACCGGTTTCCTAAAGCAAAAACCTGGTCTTTTTTTTTTTAAAGATTTTATTTATTTATTTGACAGAGAGCACAAGTAGGCAGAGTGACAGGCAGATGGAGAGGGAGAAACAGGCTCTCCGCTGAGCAGGGAGCCGGATGTGGGGCTCGATCCCAAGTCCCCAGGATCATGACCCAAGCCAAAAGCAGCCGCTTAACGGACTGAGCCACCCAGGTACCCCAAAAACCTGGTCTTCAACTAGTTTCTGTGTTGTCTTCTCTCCTAACCCCACAACCCCCCAAAAGCAGCTAGTACAATGCCTCACACTTAACATTGTTTTAATATAGTGACTTTCTAGAACCATGGTATTTTAATATAATACTACTATGAGGACCAAAAAACCATGAGAAAAGTGGTCACCCTGAGGTAATTAAGATGGAAAAGAGCTATGTCAGAGTGCTTGCATATACGTGATGCCCTGGTTCTGATTTTAGGTATTAATTGAAGAAACAGATCAATTATGGAAAGTTCATTGTCACAGAGACTTTAAGGAAGAAAGGCCAGAAGAGTATGAGTCGTGGCGGGAGATGTACCTGCGGCTTCAGGATGCCCGGGAGCAGCGGCTACGAGTGCTGACCAAGAATATCCGATCTGCACATGCCAATAAGCCCAAAGGTAACGGGGGAGGGAGGGTCCCCGGGGCGGGGGGGCCCTGGTGGGATGGGGCGACCTGGCAAAACAGTGAGCCTTGTGCTCTGGTTGACTGCAGGGCCTTAGCGGGCCGGGCTGATGTAGGCTCCAACTCCTAAATCTGTCTTGCTTATGCAGAAGCAGGGCAGGGATGGGCTGTATCTTCTGCCACCACACATACTATCTGTAGGGGTTTTCAGGGTTAATAATCCCCTGGCTTTGGGGGCACCTGAAAAGCCTTTATCTCTTAATAGTGTAGATTATTAAAATCACAGTAGGATCTCTGCTCAAAAAGGCAGGTATTGATCTCCATATTTCTCAACAGGCCGACAAGCAAAGATGGCCTTTGTCAACTCTGTGGCCAAACCGCCTCGTGATGTTCGACGGAGACAGGAGAAGTTTGGAACCGGAGGAGCAGCTGTGCCTGAGAAAATTAGGTAAGCGCTCGGCAACTTCAGGGTTTCTATGTGCTCCGGGAAAAGAGCCCCAGGAGCTTGTCATTCAGCCCTACAAGGCAGTCCAGAGGCAGGAAGCAGTTCATTTTGGGGGTGAGAGCATGGCCTTGCAGAGTGGATTTTGGAGGCCGACCTTGACCAGCTCAGCACTTGACCTACCCTGAGCCTCCGTGTCCACGACTGCAGCGTAGGCCGATAATTATTCCTGCCTCTCGGGGAGGGTAAAGATTAAATGGAGAACAGGACCTGGCTTCTGGGAGACACTCCCTTGTGCTTTCCCTTTCCCCATTTAAACAGACCATGCTCCTGGGGCGCCTGGCTGGCTCAGTCATTGGAGCATGCGATTCCTGGTCTCGGGGTCATGAATCTGAGCCCCACGGTGGATGGTAGAGATTACTTTAAACAAAAAATAAGAACCATGCTACTGTGATGACTACCTAAGCTCAGTCATACTAGCATTTTCAGAAAAAGATTTATACTCAAAGGGTGAGGTTAGTTGAGGTCCTCCATAGTGAAGGGCGAACGGCATCATCTCTGTGCCGTCGCCAGAATCGGGGGCGCTAGGGTCGGCCGGGCAGAGCCACAGAACGGGGTCTTCCTCCGACAGGCCAGCCCCAGGCTGCTGCGGCCGAGGGCACATTTCTCACACTTGGGCCTAACCAGCTGGCTCTGTGTTGCAGGATTAAGCCAGCCCCGTACCCCACAGGAAACAGCCCCGCCCCCTCCGCAAGTGGCAGCTGCAACAGCTTTAGCGGCAGCCCCGAGGAGCCAGCCTACGATGGCCCGAGCACCAGCGGTGCCCACTTGGCTCCCGTGCTCAGCACTGTTTCCTATGATCCTAGGAAACCGACTGTGAAGAGTAAGTAGCTCGGGGTTCATGCTCACATACCTCAAAACTGGTATTTGCAGCCTTTAACGTCCCGGCCGCTGCGTCATGTTGTGTGTGCTAGATGAGGCACGTATCCGATGCTCTGCACGGAGCTGGTCCGAGTGCTGGTGCCCCCTTCCCCCGCTTTGTGCGTCATACACAAGGATCTTCCAAGTAATGATCGTACTGAATATTCGTTTTGGCGCTCTGCCCCCTCCCCTTTTTTTTTTAAAACCTAAATGTAAACCTGTTTTTCCGAGTAATAACAATGTGGGGTTCGTAACTGTTAACTGCTCAATGACAGTCCGTGTGGAGGGTTTAAAACCTATAACCCCCAGCTTCCAAGTATTTATTTTTTATATCTAGTTGCGTGTATTTTGTATTGTATTAGGTGTATTACCATAGACTATCTTCGGTATTCTAAGGGGGCGTCCTCCCCTAAGAGCAGGCTTCTGTATGCACTCCAGGGCCCCTGGGCGGGTAGAGGTCGTGGCGTAAGCTTCGGCCGTGCTCGGGTTAATCACTCAGGAGGGCAGGCTCGCCATCCTTAGGTGGCGGCTACGTGGAGCTGGTCTTGGCCCTGTTGCTGCCCTGGGCAGACGGGAGTGAGAGGGCTGCTTTTTGCTGGTTTGGATACTGGGGAGGCAGAGTGAAACTGGCTCAGAACGGCCGTGAGCATCTGGAGGTAGTGAATCGCAGTTCTGCCGCCCGTTGCACAGCCTGGGGGGTGGCGGGCGGGGGTGGTCAGCCCGGGTCTCGGGGTTGGTGAGGTGGTCACGGGCCCGGCAGGCGCTCCAGCGGTGCTCCAACAGGCCGTTCTTCTGCTGTGGTGCCAGACAGGGCGCCTGCGTGTCCCCCTTGGTCTGCCGGCACGGACCCCAGAGCAGCAGGGCTGAGCCTTGATCGTCAGCCGCTCACGGTCTGTGGCCAGAGTGCCACGAGCTGAAGCAGCTGCCTTATTTCCCTTCTCACAGAAATCGCCCCAATGATGGCCAAGACGATTAAAGCTTTCAAGAACAGGTTCTCCCGACGATAAACTGAGGACTTGCCTTGGAGATGAAATTTGTGGAGAGGAGTACTGGGACACTGGGGCTTGGGGAATGGAACTTCCAAAGGAGACCAGGACCCTTTGCTTGGAGGCACCTTGCGGGCTCCGAACCCCACACGGCCCGCAGGTGTTGCCCCTTGTGAGCCTGCTGGCCGAGGCCTGGAGAACACTTCAGAACTCTGAAGAAGATGTGAAGCCTCAGTCTTACTGAGGATTTTAAGGTCAATTATACTTTTGTTGTTAATTAGCTTCTTTGTAAACTATAAGACATAGTTTTAATTAATAAATATTGCCCCCAGATTGTATTTATATTACCCCAGTATTTTTTTTTCCTTTTTTTTTTTTTAAGGCCCTCTACCATATACTTAGCCTTTTATTTTCAGGGTCCTTTATTAAATTTAGATAAAAACCTAGTGAAAGCCATTCCCCTGTCACAGTTCAGCTCTTCTGAGGGGACTCTGGTCCAGAGGGAGGGCTGGGTGTCCTCAGAGCCTGTGTGGTGCCTTCTGCACGGAGGGCCAGGAGTGGGTCCTGGGCTGTCTGTCCTACTGGGGCGCCTTGACATGGAGACCCGAAGTGTTTAAGGTAGACCCCTCACCTCTGAGGCCCTTCCCAGTGTTGCTTTGAGTTCCTATGCAGGTGCATCTCTTTCTTCATTAAATAGTATTTATTAAAGGAGGTTATTTGTAAAGGTCAAGAGTCTTTGCCCATCCTTTTTGCCAGTTGCCACTTTTTTGAGGCTCACTAGAGGACACAGAGCCTTGGGGGATCGATTTGCACAGAACCCCAACATTTTTACGATTTACAATTTCTAATTCAAAACTTTAGGGGTTTTTTTCCCCTCCCCTATTTTTCCTTCTCCCCACTAGCAGGGGGGGAAACACACAAGGCAGGGCTTTTTGTGCCCCTACCCCCCCATTCAACTTCAGAGTCTAAGAAGCCAGCACTTTAATCTCTGGTTCCCTGTGAACTGCTAACAGAAGTGAGTGGTTTTAAAAGTTGTAATGCTGTGTTCAAAATTGGTTTTGTTTTGCCTTTTTTTAAAAGGTAAGATCATGTGATTGGAAGAGCACAAGAATTTGCTATGTTTTGCAGAGAACTTTGCAGCTGAAGCGCTCTCTACTTTTTGAGTGTTTAAACCAGAATTTGGAGGGAACGGCCAACTTAGGGGAAGTGTCTGAGCTGTAGTGTCAGGATGGGGGAGGGCCGCAAGGACACCCGCCAGGTTGGGGAAGGGAGGATCTCTCTTTCAGGCTGACATAGGAGCAAGATCAGCACTTAGGAGGGCAGCGTCGGTGCCCTTCTCAGCTGTTGACGAGCACTGATCTCACAGGAACCCACTTGGTTGGGACCCAGGGGGAAGGAGATGCTAGACATTTGAGGTGCCTGTCCTTAAGATACCTACGCGGTAGACGGCGGGCATGATTCGTAGGACAGCCTCAGGAGCTTGGCAGTTAGTCCCCTTGACAAGCTCCCTCTAAGCCCAGAATAGGGAGCGCACTGCATTTAACCATCCTGGAGACCTCAGGCTGACTGTGAAGATTCCGGAGCGAGCGGAGACTCTGTGCGGCAGAACCCGCAGTGTTCAGTGTGCGTTGCTGTGCAGGCTGCCTGTTGCAACAGGACACAAGTGTCGCTGTGTTTTCATTTGCTGTGTTTTTTAGTTGGGTAAAACACTATTTCTCTTGGTCTTTGTCTTACCATTCCACCCCCACCCAGCCCTGGCCTGCTCTGCAGATCTGGTGTTAGGAAGCCTCTTCCCTAACAGCCAAGTGAACGTCTGGGTCAGGGGCCAGACACTTCCTCCTGTAAGTGTCCGCCAGCTTGACTTTGTCTCTTGGCTGTGTGTTCAAGTCTTGGTCATTGAAACCAGTTTTTCATACTGCAGATTCAGTTGTGTAGGATTTCATTTCCTTTATTAGGAGTTTTTAGGCAGGGAGGGAAGGAAGGACACATTTGTTCATGCCAACATCACCACCCCTTTTTAGCACATACAGATTTCTGATCAGCCCTGTTTGCCTAGAGTCAGATCTTTCCCTCCTCCCCCTCCAAGAGTGTCTGCATCAGGGATGTGACCTGGTGAGAAGGGTAAGGAGGGAAGAGAAAAAGCCGAATTTCTGAACAACCTTCTTACCTGGTTATTGAAATGGCTGCAGAGCAGACACACAGGATGATGTTGAACCTTTGGTCTCATTTGTGAAAACGTGTGCAATCTTCTTCCTGTGCTACACTACATACAAATCACCAAATTACAAATTAACCCTTTGTGATCCTTGGTGTAATGAGCAGTTTCTTTGGGGCTTTCTCTTTCCGGGAAGTGGGAGGGAAAGGAGCAAGGTATCATCCTGCTCTTCATTTGTATTTTGGTCCCAAAATGTAAATACAATTTTCTATGTTACTTTTTTGTGGTAACTACCAAGATGAATATTTTAATTAGATAAGTTATATGAAAAGGAAGGAAAATTCCATGTCTAAATAAAAAAAAAAAAAAAAAAACCCATATACTGTGTTCTTCTTTCCTTTCTCCCTTATTGTGTCTGAGAATGGCAGTTGGTCACCAAGTGTCTGGTTCCTGGGCTGTGAGGTGGAGAGCTTAATCCCTGGACCTGGACCGGGCTTCATAAAGGATGTTGGATTTCTGTAGCAAAGCGGGCCTGGGGATGGGAATCTGGGGAGAAGAACCCTTGAGCAAAGGGAGGAACCTCAGATGACAAGGAATACCTCCTGGCACTGAGGCATTAACCCCATATTACAAGCCAGAAGCTGGGGCTCAGGGGTGAAATAATGCAGCCAATCTGCAGCGAAGGTAAGGATGTGAAACCCAGGTTCTCTGGCTGCAAAGTGGGTGCCACTCCACCTGCCAGTCCCTGGGGGGTGTGAAGGACCCAGGTAGGTCTCTTCAGTCTTACACGGACTTGCCAATGAGAGCATAATGACAATTAACGCAGAAAGGTCATGTCAGCAAGAACTTAAGGCCCTGGCTGAGCTGCAGGAGCTTCAGCCTTTCACTAGTGGAGCCCAGGGCTTGGTTGCAGCCCCTGCATACATTGGATTGTATCTTTATTACGAACTGGGGGCGGGAGGGGGGACAGAGGGAGAGAGAATCTTAAGCAGACTCCGTGCCAAGCAGGGAGCCCAACACCGGGCTGGATCTCACAACCTTGAGATCAGGACCTGAGCCAAAACCAAGAGACGCTCAACCGACTGAGCCACCCGGGTGCCCCTATATTGGACTGGATCTTACATCAAACCTACAACATCTCCCAGAAGCACATTTTTATTCTCTCCTAACGAGGGCATTCTTGGTGTATGGACTTAACTTCCCCAGCCTTTACTGGATCGAATACTCACTCTAAGAAGTTACAATGCATTTGAGGTAAATTACGGAACATGGTATCTGATGGATGATTTTACCTGGAGTTTGTAAGTTAGCACCTTGTCCTTTACTCATTAATTCAACATTTGCTGAGCCAGAACCTGGATTAGACCCTGGGATACAGAGTAGCACACACGTCTGGCAGGCAGTTAGGTAAGAGTAACTGGCCTCACTGGTTCTGAACCCACCACCTGGCAGGCACCGCTCTGACTCATCCATATTGTCTCAGTTATCACGGTATCTTTGCAGGTAGGTGGTCATGGCCCCATTTTTAAAAATGAGAAAACTGAAGCACAGAGAAATCAAGAATGCCTGCAAGCTCACACAATCGGTGAGCAGGGTGCTGTGTGCTGGCCCAACTCCCAAGCACATGTTGTCAGTCACATTAAACCATCTCTACAATCACACACACCCGAGTTAGGCCAAACGCCAATGCAAAAAAATGCCCTAATTGTTGCGAACAATGATTTCTTCTCTTTGCTGCATATCATTAATGCCCAGAAGAACCCTCTGGCTGGCTTATCACCTTGGCAGATGCCCCCCTTCACAGACTTTCTCCCCTAAGGTCCCACATCCACTTCAGTCTCTCTGATGATTTGCCCAAATGGTGAAACAGGCAGTTTGTCCTCACAGACCCCCAGACTTCTCTTTCTGTGATGCCTGCTGTCTCAACCCCTTTCAAAAACCTCTGGGGTGGGTGGGAGGATGGGTTAGCCTGGTGATGGGAATTAAAGAGGGCACGTTCTGCACGGAGCACTGGGTGTTATGCACAAACAATGAATCATG